GAGAGAAGGAAGCCTTACAATCCTATCCAGAGAAATACCACTCGGTACTTATAGATTTCATTAGGTCTTTAGGGAATTCGCTAAGTAGCGAAACAATACGTTCTCCTCCAGCCCTGACTATAGGAGAGAAACCGAAGGTACCTAGATTTTATATTGTTGTGTATAGTAAAGGGTGTTAAAAAAGCCTAACACTTCACACTTTCACACGCTAAAATTTCACCTGATCAAAACAAAATTAATATAATAATGTCTCTAGGATGTTAGGACTATGTGATAACAAAAATTATCGAATTGGGTCAACCCTGCTCTGAAAAATTGCTCCTTGTCTCTTGGGGGGGGTGGAACCTATAACCCTACGTGCAAAAAAAATACATTTGAAAAGCTAAAAATGTTCCAGAACTGGCTTAAAAATGACAAGAATCTGTTAAAAGGTATTCAATATAACCCTAAAACTCTGAATAGTTTTGTTAAATTACTAGATGTCAACTTCAGGGTGGAGGTAATTTAACCCAACACCTATTGGGAGGATACTGTAGCCCACCATTTACAAGCAAATGCAGAACCAGTTCCTTCACTTCTTCTTCAACAAGGAGAACAGCGGCCGACGACCATTACTGGTAGATGATAGGACCATATTTTATTTCAAAAAAGAATTACTTTATCCACAGCCACCGCTGCCAGCTCCTCTCATGCTGTCAGCAATAGTTTAAATTAAAGTCCATAAAGTTTAACAATATTTTTATATAATTAAGAGTAATAAAGTCATAATAAAAAAGAAGGTTGCAAGAAAGAAATAAAAAAAAACGTCTATTAACTGAAGCAAAGTAAGGCGGGAAAAGGCTCTCCCGCGTAGGCTAATCAGTTCCATCCCCCCAAGAGACAAAGAGCATTTATTTAGAACAGAGTGGACCAAATCCAAATTTTGTTTTTTACATAGCCCTAACCACATACAGACCTTGTGCTATTAATATCATTATGATCGGGTAAAAATTATGCCTCTGAGAGAAAAAAAAAGTGTGAAGTGTTTGGTTTTTGTAACAACCTTTATAAAATCCGAGTGTTTTCTGTCTCAGATTTGTCAGACTGAACAAAACACACTATTTAAGCAGCAAGCTCTATCCTTTTATCTTCGGAACATGATGGTGTAAACCTTTACTATTACTAACTTTGATCTAGCAAAGTTTTAGTTTAAAATTTAAGACTTACAATGAAAGGTTTCAAAGATATAAGGATAAGAAAGTCAGGGTTTGGGAAGAGTAATCACTACTTCAAAGATATTGAATAAACAATTAGTACAAGATCACTTGAAAGACAAAAAAACTTGATGGAACAGACCTTTGATATTTTCATCAAGATTATCTAATATTACAGAATTCATAGTATATCTTAAGTCTACAAAATTGGGTATATATATAATATATATGGATTAGAAAGTCTCAGATTGTGGTAAGAACTGAGTTGAAATATCTAAAGAAAACATAAATGGGTTGAAAATTGAGGGTTTTTTTAAAATTGTGCATAAAAATTGCTATGATCAATAATTGATCATAATGCAACGTTTATGTTTACACACAAACTCGATTTTTCTAATCCCTATATCTTTGCAACATGATGATATTTCAAATTTACACTATTCAATCTTACAATATGCATAGGTTGAAATATACACATTTTTTTTCCATATCTCAACCTCTGAAAATAATTTTTTGTTAATGCTATAATCAGATTCATAAAATGTTGCTAATGTATTTAAGGGCAAAACTTAAGTTCTTTCTGAGAAATATCGATGATGTAAAATTTGATATTTTGATTAAGGAAAACAATAAAAATAATTGTGAAACGACTTCTTATACAAAATTTATAATTTTAAATAAATCTGTAAAATTTGATTTCGGAATTGGAAATCTGAAAAATTTTAATTTCTGGTCTTGGTCATTATTATTTCAGGCTAAAAATACTGACTCAATATTTTTTTTTGTTCTTTTGTTAAAATGATGTATTACTTGAGAAAATATTTCATAGGTTTTCTTTTTCGAGTTAAAAATCTGGTGGTTGAATACTCCTAGTTGTGGTCCAGTGTTCAAATACTTATTCAAAAAACACGAGGAACTGGAAACTATCAGTATAGGGTTTGATCCTGAGTGTTCAAATACTTATTCAAAAAACACGAGGAACTGGAAACTATCAGTATAGGGTTTGATCCTGAGTGTTCAAATACTTATTCAAAAAACACGAGGAACTGGAAACTATCAGTATAGGGGTTGATCCTGAGTGTTCAAATACTTATTCAAAAAACACAAGGAACTGGAAACTATCAGTATATGGTTGTATGGTGGGAGAAGTAGAGAATGAGTGGAGTACAGAAGGATGAGAAGGATATCGTGTTATTGGTGTTCTCCAATAATCAACTAAGATATATTTCTGTTCATATAATGAAGAATACTGGAGATATAGTTGTATAGTCTCCCCAGTACTCTTCCTAACCTAGAGAGGCTGGTAATGACGTTTTGGAAGTCTGTACCAGCTTCTCTAGGTTAGGACGAGGTTAGACATGGGGAAATCCTGCATGAAGTACTTCATGTACATCAACAAGATCATTATCCGTAATGAATCCCGTACCTAAGTTAATTAAAACATTCAAGGACTTAAACTTGCTAAATCCAAGCTAGCCAAACTCTGTTGTTGCTGCTGCAAACTAAGAGAGTAATACTTATGCATTATAAGCACTTATGCATTTTAGCTCCAGGCATTTATGCATTTATGCCCTTATCCATAATTCTTGCTGATTTTTTAAAGTTTTTTTCTCTCGTTTTCTTTTATTGGATATATAATATATAATATATATATAATATATAATATAATATAATTCGCTATCTTAGCTAAAATATATAGGGCGACCAAGTTTTGCTGATTTATAAAAAGTTTTATCTCTCGTTCTTCTTTCATGGAATATCTAATAATCACGTTTATTATCTTATTTGTAAATATAGAGGGTGAGCACGCCACTTTATAATTTTATAAATGTATAAGTTTCTGTTTGTTTGATAAAGTATTTGAGAAGAAGACTTTTTTGAAGTTGTTATCAGATCAAGGACTGATTGAGATATTAAACAGATCCAGTAGTAATATCAGAGAATTAGAATTATCTGGTTCTAACATTACGGGGGTTGGAGTAGGAGTAAATTCTCTTCCAAACCTAGAGATACTGAAGCTGATTCAGTGTGATAATCTGACAGATAGAGGACTGGAGGAGATTCTAAGAATATCCAGTTTTACTCTCAGAGTTCTAGATGTATCCAGGACTAATAAAACAGAGCAGGGATTCCAGGAAGGAGTATCTCTTCTTATGCTGGAGGAACTGAACCTGGGAGTGTGTAGACATCTGACATATTCAGGTCTCCTGGAAATACTGAGTATCTCAGGGAATAGATTGAAGACTGTGAAGGTGTACGGTATACCTTAACAGTCTTCAATCTATTCCTTGAGTTACTCTGAATATCTACTGCAGTTAGAAGCATTCTCCCTATCCAATATCCTTCTGTTCAATTTCACTTTAGGTAAATTATGGACACAGATAATTAAGAACTGAAGTGGACACCATGTTACACAGAATAATCTTTGACAGTTTTTTACCTATAAACTATAATAGTAATTTTCTTTATTTTTAGATTCAATGTTTTCACAGATATTAAAGAAATTAGGTTTTATTCATAAGGTTAGCAGATGAAAACCATTTTTATTTGATTTTTGTGATGTAAATTAATCTTTGGATAGTTGTTCCTTCTACAGAAATGTTTGTTGTGTTTTTGAGAAATATTATGATTTTTGTTGAAAAAAAAAGAAAATTAACAAATCTTGGTTCCAGGAGGAAATTTACTCTGAAACCTTGGTTCTAGGAGAATATTTTCTCTGAAACCTTGGTTTTAGGAGAATATTTTCTCTGAAACCTTGGTTCCAGGAGAATATTAACTCTAAAAACCTGGTTCTAGGAGAATATTTACTCTGAAATCTTGCTTCCAGGAGACTATTTACTCTGAAATCTTGCTTCCAGGAGACTATTTACTCTGAAATCATTGTTCCAGGAGACTATTTACTCTGAAATCATGGTTCCAGGAGACTATTTACTCTAAAACCCTGGTTATAGGAGAATATTTACTCTGAAATCTTGGTTCCAGGAGAATATTTACTCTGAAATCTTGGTTCCAGGAGGAAATTTAATCTGAAACCTTGGTTTTAGGAGAATATTTACTCTGAAAACCTGTGAATCGTGAATTTAAATTTTTTTCTTCTGCAAAGCTACTAACATTGAACTAGTTTTAGATATTGATAACATAATGTTAGCTAACCCTATCTGAACTTTACCTAAGAGTAAATTAACTAATCTTAGCTAGCCCTATCTGAATATTAACTAAGATTAAACTAATTTAAGTTAACCCTATCTGAATATTAACTAAGAATAAACTAATTATAGATAGTCCTATCTGAATATTAACTGAGAATAAGCTAATTTTAGCTAACCCTACCTTAATGTTAGCTAACAATAATCTAATTTTAGTGTTTGCGCGAAAATCCGAATATCCGTCAAAATCCAAGTTTTACATAAAGCTGTAAGAAATTTTTTAGAATTTTTTAGTGTATTTTGGTGCTCAGAGGACTTATAGGAAAATGGGCTAAAATACGGAGTTTATTGAAAATCAAAAAATGTTGGTATTCTTGGACACCCTACTCTAAAGAGTGCAGTCCGATCATCCTGTATATTGTATACATTGAATTAATGTTTTTTTTTATTTTTACTGCTATCTTAAATTCAGAACACAAATCTGAGATACTCTATCATTTATTTTGCATCCATTTTATTCTGCAATATTTAATTTTAAATCATTTTATAGCTCTGGTTCTTGAGTTTACATCTGCCGCATAGTTAAGTACATTGCAACAACCAACCATAGAGAATAGAATATATATTAGAGAGGAATTTAAGGAATCTCTCGGTATGAATTTTTTCAGTCTCTTTCAGCCTGAAAGGGAGTTCAAAGTGTACAAACCATTTAAATGTTCACAAATTATGTGCAGTAGAGAACATTAATACAGTATGTTCCCAAGACTATTCATTTTAATTTCGAAATATTTAAAGCTGTTAAATAAACTAGAATTAGGAGAATAAAAACAATCATTTGATTTATAGTTATAACGGAAAATCATCGTTTGTAAAGTGAAAGGCATAGAGTCTATGTGAAATGATCATTGGTCAATTATGAAACCAGCCTATTTCATAATTTGGTTCATATTAATTTGAGATTATAAAATGATATTTCAGGGCCCAAAAGGTTATATAACATAAATATGTGAAGTACACCTGCAGTATGGAAACAGTACAGCAAAATGGCCGTTTTACACTTTTTTTTAGTTTAGTTCCCCTCTAATATATATATATTCTAATCTCTTTGGCAACAACCCGTCTAATTGTTATTTTAGATTAGAACTTCATGAAATTTTGTGGTAAACAATTTTTTCTCCTAATTGTAAAAATGTACATGTTCTGTAGCGTGTACTGTATAGTGTACAGTGTACATAACCTAGACTTTAACTGACTCCAAAACTTAAGACAGGGTATCGTTATGAAAACCAGTTTTAAAACCCGGGTTTTACGAATGGGGTTAAGCAGCTTTTAGATATCAATATTTTTGTGATGAATTATTTTTTTATTCAGTTTCTTCATATTCTCCATTTTTCTAGAATCTCTTAAATCAAAATCTACACTGTTAAGATATCCTAAAAAAGCAAACATGAGAGTTTCGTTCAACGATACTTTTGTAAATTTCGAGCTCTGACATCTAACTGTTATCTCTAATTATATTTGTGTAGAGTTTAACTTGTCCTTGTGAATGAGATTCACTTCTACCATCGAGATATTAGTAATAGAGGGGGCATCTGGAATTTTAGACTTCTTGTTGTACAGCTACTGTACACAATGACCCGATCAGAAATTCAACCTGGGGGGATCACAATTCGTAAATTAGTGTTTTAAGACATTATAGTTTGAATCCGAAGCCTACAATATGCAAGCAAAGAAAACAAGCCCATATGATTTTTGTAGAAAAATGAGACATGACAAATAGAGAAAAAAATAAAATCCTTCTCAATAACATCTTGCTTCTTATCAAATTCTTTACTTCTGAAATCTTTTTTGATGAGGATGAGACTGAAGAAGATACGCCCGAAGAAGACATAGACCAAGTGGACGAAACATCATTTAACTAAGCAGCCTATCTAGACTGTTCTAGATGCAGAATTTTGCCAAGCCTAAGGCATTGTTCAGGCTCAATCAGGCCACTTCAAGCCACAATACAACTTGACCTTTTCTGGGAGTAGCCCAAGGCGACCTTTTTTCAACCAAGCCAACCCACCCACCCCAAAAAATCAGTTGCGCAAGTTCCCTTCTCCCCCCTGGGACTATAAAAAAGCCGAAATTTTTTAGTTAAAGCAGTGAGTAAGTGATCAGACTGTAAGGGGCTCTAATATCAGGTCTGGTTTATTATAGAACTACCCCTTTAATTCGTGGATATAATTTTGGCGCTTGATCCCTTTTATGCCAACTTTAGGCTATATAGTAATGTCTCTACTAACCCCCTTTGTATCTCTCTCTATTAAATTAGTTTCTTGTATTTTGTTTTATTTCTCAGATATTTAAGTGTTTTCAGTTTTTATGTTGTAACTATATTTCAATGATATTCAATAAAAAGGATATTTTCCTACTGTGTGATTATTAGAAAGATCGTTGGCGAGCATATGAATATAATTAAAGAAATATATTATTTTGAAGATTTATTTTTCTTACATATCCTCACGCTTGATGTGTTATATATAGCATTAGGCCATTATAAATCAAATTCATACATAGGCGAATTCTTGAAACAATTTTGAAATAAATTTAAAATTTTTTTTAATTTTGTGATTTAAGTTAATTTTTTATAAATTTTCGAATTGCTTTATTTTAGCGAATTTCGCGTAACTATGCCTTTTTACAGCAGTTTTATATATATTTAGATTATACACATGATGAAGTCGGGCTCCGATTAAGATTAACATGTTAAAGTCGGGCCCCGACAAAGACTCAACAAGTTGAAGTCGGATTCTGACTTAGAATAAACATGTTAACTTCGGGCCCCGACAAAGGATAAACATGTCGAAGTCGGGCTTCTATCAAGATTACACATGACGAAATTAAATCTGGCGGGAAAATGTTGGCATACACAGGGTGGCAGCCACGTGAAAACCATGCATTAGCTTCTGAAGCACTGCAGAGGTGAGAGGTCCTGATTGACGTGCCTCCAACCAATTTATTGATAACATATCAATTGACACTGAATATAAGATGAGTTTTGTATAGACCAGCATTAGGGGACCCACAAAGGATGACATTGCCGCAGAGACGACTGAACAGAATTAACACTGCCTGTTTCCTTACATATAGGATTCTTTGCGACTGTCAGTACTTGTTTTTTTTTCTTTTTCAAATCATGAAATAAGCCATTGAAAGAAAAATTTCAAGGCATAATACTTATTTTATAGTCTCATCACAAGTTGTTGATATATAGTTCAACGGCAAAGGACTTGAGCCTTTGAAGCAAACTCTGATTTTCTTATCCCAGATCGTTGCAACCCAACGACATGACCTTAGATATTTCATATGTGCAAGCTCTGTTAGATCAAATAATCTAAGTTTAAAATATTTTTAAGGATTTCACTCCCAGGTTGCAAAGATATTGGGATTAAGATTTTTTAGTTTTTGGTGAAAACTTACTATTCCTTTGGATGTTGACAATTATGCAAATGATGGAAAAAAGTAAAAGGACAACAAACAGTTGCAAGGAAAGCAATAGTGAGATAGTTGCATAAACTACCAAAAATCCCCCCCCCCCCCCAAGGCTATTTACAAGGGGAAAAAGGCAAATTTCTATTAGACTCCCGTGTTAATGCAACCACGTGGTATTCCGATCGGGTATTCAAAATCTCCGATCGGAAAGAAAATTGTTCCGATCGGAGTTTGTTTTGTTCCGATTAAAGTTCCGATGAACTTCGCTCATGCTCTTAGTTCAAATTGATACACTTAAGAATGACATAATTGTCAAGTCATATATGTAATTTTTACCTCAAACTCAATTTTTTAATCCCTATTTCATTGCAACCTGATGGTAGTCTATGGATATTTCAAATTTAAATTATTTAATCTAACAGATTTCAAACTTCGAAATATCAAAGGTGTCTTAAACATCCGTTGCAAAAATATTAGTATTAAAGAAAATCAGAGATTTTGCAAAAACTCAATTCCTTTACTGAGAAAATATAACACAAACTTAGGCATTAAAAGCAATGAAATGTATTTTTGACCTTTGATTTAATTGAATTTATTCATTTTTTATTATTCATTAAAAACGTTCTTTACTTTCAGACAAAAAGAGATGGAAACATAGAGACAAACAATGAGAAAATCTAAATCCTGAAGCCTGGAAATAAACACATGGAGCTCCTTGAAATTTACTATAAAAGCTCTGAAGTCAAAAAACAAAAGAATCAACAGCATTAAAAGGAACAACAGCAGGAACAGCAAAAAATAGAAACAACAGCAATGGTAGAAAAAACAACGAAAATAGCAAGAATAGAAACAACAGCAGGAACATCAAAAATAGATACAACAGCAATAGTAGAAAAAACAACGAAAACAGCAACAATAGAAACAACAGCAGGAACAGGAATAAAAGAAACAACAGCAGGAACAGCATTAAAAGAAACAACAAAAGGGACAGCACAAATGGAAACAACAGCAGAAATAGCAGTAAAAGAAACAACAACAGGAACAGTAATTAAAGAAACAACAGATAGAACATCAAAAAAAGAATCTACAGCAGAAACAGCAAAAAAATAAACAACAGCAGGAACAGCAATAAAAGAAACAACAGTCGGAAGCATACTCCCGAAATCGGACAAGGTCCCGAAGTCGGAAATATACTCCCAAAGTCAGAAACGTGCTCTCGAAATCGGACAAAAAGTTCCCGAAGTCAGAAAATACTCCTGAAATCGGACAAGTTCCTGAAATCGAACTCATATTCCCGAAATCGGACACAAAATCTCCGAAAAGTGGAAACTTTAATGGCGAATACATGTCTTAAAACCTCCACTTGCACATTGAACGTGGACGGGAAAGGTTGTGTGTCTGTTTAATTCATCAAGAAGGATCAAAAACTTTAAAAATTAGAACAGGTAACATCACATGTTCCATGTATATTGTATATATTCATTAAAATAATACAACCATTGAAGCAATCCTTCTCAATCTCTCTTTCAATTTTTGTTCACAATTAAGCATATAATTGCCTCTTCTCGATCTTTTTTAAAACTTCATTTAAAATTTTAAGTTAAAAGAGTGATTTTTATATTTTTTAATACTTATTCATAGCCATCAATTATATAATTATATAATATGGAAAAATATCTTGTGACGTTTTTTTATTGTTTGTATATCATCACGGCGTTTGAAGTAAAATCCAGCATTAAATCGGAAAAGTATTCTGTTTCCCTTATCTTAAAAGTCCGAGTACAAAACTTTTGAAGAGGATAGCGCTCAGCTTTAAAGTTGAACTAAATATTCACTGCACAGTTGTTAATGCCAGTCACCAATATAATGAGATGCCTATTGGTTAAAGGGATTGTAAGTTTAATTCAAAGTGACCCTTCATGCAAAGATGGCAACCTTTATTTGATCAATAATAAGGAAAAAATTGTCTCCTATTCTGGGTTAAAAAAATATAAAAATTAATATTCATGCTTGATCAGATATAGCTTTTAAGGATATGGTTGTGTTTAAGACATTGTCATATTTTCATGGAGGTTTACTTGAAATTACGCTTACAGTTTCTTTTAAAGAGCTAATTCTGATTTTCTACCAACCCATGATTAAATGAACATAGAATTATTTTAGGGTTCAGAGGAAACCAGCAATTCAGCATAAACCAGCAATCTTGCGAATACCAGAAATCCAGCTAAAACAAGCAATCCAGCGTAAACAAGCAATCCAGCGTAAACAAGCAATCCAGCGTAAACAATTGCAATCCAGCATAAAACCAGCAATCCTGCGTAAACAAGCAATCCAGCATAAACCAATAATCTAGCGTAAACAAGCAATCCAGCATAACCAGCAATCCAGCATAAACAAGCAATCCAGCATAAACCAGCAATCCAGCGTAAACCAGCAATCCAGGATAAACAAGCAATCCAGCTTAAACCAACAATCCAGCAAAAAACCAACAATCCAGCATAAACAAGCAATTCAGTGTAACAAGCAATCCAGCGTAAACAAGCATTCCAGCGTAAACAAGCAAACCAGCATAAACAAGCAATCCAGCGTAAACCATAAATCCAAGACGAACCAGAAATCCAACACGAACCAGAAATCCGGCGTAAACAAGCAATCCAGCCTAAACAGCTATCTATTGTAAAACTACTTGGCGCCATTAACAAGACGGATAAAACTTTTATAAAAAATTTAAGGATTTTAAAGCAGAAGTTTGAATCCATCTGATTAAGTGGAGTTTAATTAAACAAGTAGAACTCTAATGGAAACGTACGAGGAAGATTATGGAAAGGAAAATAGAAAAAGAAAAGAGGAGAAGAAGATAAATATCTTACCTCACCTAGAAAATAAAATTGTGATTTAAGTATTTGGGATTTTTTAACAATCTACAAACTGGAGATGGTGAAATGATAATATTTCAGAAAAATGAGTAAACCAATACCATGCAGGTACTTCTCAAAAGGATACTGCAAACATGGGAGGAAATGCTGGTTTTCTCACGAAGTAAAAGATCAGCATGGAAATGTTGATGTACGAAACAGGTATTGAAAATGAGAAATTTAAAACACAAATAAGGTACTATAATGAATGTTTTTATTAGGTCGGGTTCTAATTACGGTGGTCACAGTTCTGCAGATCAGAAACAAAATGGTTCACCACCCATTCACAAATTTCGTGAAAGGAGAGACGGGAATTCATCACCTGGGGGTAAATCTTGTGAAAAGGGACGCAATAACGCATCACCTAGACGCAGATCTCATGAAAGGAGAAACAGGAATTCATCACCTAGACGCAGATCTCATGAAAGGAGACAGGAATTCATCACCTAGACGCAGATCTCATGAAAGGAGACACAGGAATTCATCACCTAGACGCAGATCTCATGAAAGGAGAAACAGGAATTCATCACCTAGACGCAGATCTCATGAAAGGAGACACAGGAATTCATCACCTAGATGCAGATCTCATGAAAGGAGAAACAGGAATTCATCACCTGAACGCAGATCTGGTTATAGGGAAAATAAATCAAACAGAGACAGATCCCATGAAAGACCAAACCAGAGAACTCCAGACAGAGACAGATCCCATGAAAGACGAAACCAGAGAACTCCAGACAGAGACAGATCCCATGAAAGACGAAACCAGAGAACTCCAGACAGAGACAGACCCCATGAAAGACGAAACCAGAGTACTCCGAACGGAGACAGATCTCACGAAAGACGAAACCAGAGAACTCCAAACAGAGACAGACCCCATGAAAGACGAAACCAGAGTACTCCGGACGGAGACAGATCTCACGAAAGACGAAACCAGAGAACTCCAGACAGAGACAGATCCCATGAAAAACTAAACCAGAGAACTCCGGACAGAGACAGATCTCTCGAAAGACGAAACCAGAGAACTCCGGACGGAGACAGATCTCTCGAAAGACAATACCAGAGAACTCCGGAGGGAGACAGATCTCTCGAAAGACCATACCAGATAGCTCTGGACTTAGACAGATCTCTTGAAAGACAAAACCAGAGAACTCCGGATGGAGACAGATCCCACGAAAGACAAAACCAGGGAACTCCGGACAAACACAGATCCCATGAAAGTCTAAACCAGAGAAATCCGGACAGAGACTTATCCAACGAAAGACTAACTCAGAGAACTCGTGTCAAAGACGGATCCGGGGACAAATGCCAACAGAGTTCATCCAGTCATTTTGGGTACTCACAACACCTGAACGGATTAATCCAGATGAACCCTTCTGGTTTCTATACATCAGAAAGGGCACCAGGTCCTAAGCAACGAGATCCTCAGTTTAACCGTGCACCCGGACTCATTTTAAGAGCTCTAGCACAAGTCCATCAGGAAAGAAACCTAAATTATGATTTTTATATTCAAAATCGATTTTTTTAAATGAATTTTTTAATCCTTAACCAGTATACAGTAAAACTAAAATACTTTATCATGTTATAGATATAATATGCGTTATGAAATTGTTAAGATATCTCTTACTTTCCTTTCTTCTATATATATGCAGAGCTACAACGTGGGTTATTATGTGCCTCAAACTCCAATTTTCTAACCCAAATGTCTTATCAGTCTGATGTTGTTGACCGTTGTATATTTCATTGTACATCGTTGTACATTGTTTCCAACTCTGATTGCATAATCAGAATTTGAGGCGAGTTATCAATGTTTTTTTTTTTATTTTGTTTGGTTTTCTGCTTTTAAGGAATACACAGAATCATTATATTTACAGGGACGGGAGGATGAGAGCTATACTAAACTTAAGATCCAGAAATTGATCCAGACCAAGTTTCAAGACAGACACCCGGGGTTCCATGCTGTAGAAGCTGCTCTTAGGAATGTTACAATTCACATTAGCTAAAAACATATCTATTTAAACTTTAAATAATTTTTTTCAGTAAAATTTTCAAGGGTTTTTTGTTTGTTTTGATTTAGCTTTGAGGAATAGAAAATGTTTCTTCGATGTTTAATGTTCATGGTCTGTCTTTCTAAAACATTATTTCATTAGAGCCTGATGTGTAAACTTTGATCCTAGCTTATCTAGGACTTTGATATTTCGGACTTTGCCTATTTTATCTGAGCCCGCGGTTTAAAAACTTCGACCCAATTTATTAAGACCTGACCTTCGACCCAACTCTGACGACTGCTTGTGTCGTGTGATTGACAGCTGTCAGATCTTCGACTCGAATTAAAGAGTTAGGCCCAATGAAAATAAAACCGAACTTGGTTGGTTTTACTGGAGAATAAGGCTCAAGGTTGAGTCTTGTTCTCATAAAAACACGAAATGCGCTAATTCCTACCATGAAAATCCGCCAAATAGAAAAAAACAGTTTTTTGAACTCAACTCTGTGGAAAATAAGATGCAGCCTGAATCCAACAGCTCAAGTCGTAAATAAGGCCCAACGAAAGCTTAGATCAGAGCCGTGTATTTTCACGAATTTTTAAAATCACGGGCTCTAGAGAAATTCATTCATTTAAATGCCAAAGGTTGATCTTTTAAAGAAATATAAAAAAACTGCATTTTAAAAAATTCGAATTGAATCTCTTCAAGTTCTCGGAGTCTTCAGGGTAAAGGGTGGATTCTGAAAACCAAGGAAAATGAATATTTAAAACTTAAGATATGCTATTTGGGTTTGAATTTAAGTTTTGGATTTAAACTGTTCGATTGTGCTTATGAGTTTGTTTTGTATTTTTGGGTTTTGTGTGTTTCCATTTTAGGTTTTTTTCAGTTGGTTTTTTGTATAAAAGTTTGGGTTTTTTATTTATTAGTTTGGTTTTTATCAGAGGTTTGGTTTGTATTTATAAGTTTGGAAGTATTTGTGAGTTTTGTGTACATTCATTTTTGTTTGTATTTTTAGTTTAGTTTGGATGTATAGGTTTGGTTTGGATATATAAGTTTGGTTTGGATATATAAGTTTGTTTTGGATATATAAGTTTGGTTTGGATATATAAGTTTGGTTTGGATGCATAAGTTTGGTTTGAAATTATTAGCTTTGTTTGTTCTAAACTATATTTGCCATAGTAATTATTTGTTTTGATATTCCTTCAAATGCAGGATGAATATAAGATCACAGAGTCCGGATTGAAAATGGGTCAAAAATTGAACCAGGTAAAGGAATTGAGTCTTGGCAACAAACTAAAATTTTCTGACTCCTATATCTTTTCAACCTGATGGTTTTTTCAAAATGTTGATTATTAATTGATTTTAACCGAAAGCATCGTCTATAAGTACAAATACGACATTGGGTTGCAAAGATAAAGGGATTGAAAATTAGAGTCTGTGGCCGAGGTTTGTTTTATGTCAAGGGATTATATCAGTATGATGTAAATTCTCGGCAAAATTAGTATTCTTTAAAAATTAAATATTTTATTTTTTTTTTTGGGGGGGGGGGGCGATTCGAAAAGTGCAATTACATGAAAAGGTTGTAATATTCTATTCATAATCCTATGTTATTAAAATCTTGTGAATCGCGTGAATTTTTTTTATTATTTTAGAAAGCAGAAGATCATAAACTTGTGTATGGTGAAAAGCTGCCTGTTAAGATAGAGTATTGTGAAAACCTGCCTGTTAAGATGGAGTAACGAATTGTTTGTGGCTTAAGCATTAAACCACCGAGTTAAATATGTACAATTGAAAATTACTAGTGGCATGTTTAATATGTTAATGTCATCGCAAGGGGAGTTTTTAAATATGGTAATGTCTTTGCAAATAAGCAACGTTTCTTTTCTAACATTTATGTTCTATGGCATTTAATCATCAGTTTCTAAGCTTCCTTTACGAAACTATTCATTCATATTTTGACGAATATTTGTACCAAACCCTGTTTTTTACTGAGACAAAGATGTTCATGCTTAGCCTGGAACGATATTTTTAAACTTTTTACTTACTGTATGCCTTCCCGGATAATAATATTCCATATCAACCCGGCTGATAAATAAGAATATTTTGTGTCCTATTTACAAATATGTTGGAAAGTGTTTGTTTTATTGCAGTATGCACGTTGCCCACTGCAAATATTAGTAAATTTTATTATGCCAATATATCGTGTGATTAAAATTCACTGTTAAAATAAACTTTGATGAAAAATGTTGTTTTTCTTAGAGAAGCATAGATACAGAATGCTTGATAATTCCGGGATTTTTAATTAGAACACATTTTACACCATGAAACAGATCAATGAGCAAATACAGGGTGGCCAAAATGTACGGATTGTACGGATTTTTTTATTTGTAACCCTAAAATTGTACGGATTGTACGGATTTTTTTTCAAATTGTACGGATTTTTATCCTGGAAATACACCGTTTTTTTTTAATTTTCACTCATTTCAGCAAATTTTACATGAAAATTTCAAAAAAAAATTCTCGTCAAAATGAGGTTAGTTTAACTTATTTTCTGCATTCTAAATAATATTAGATTGATTAATGTTTCAATTGACAATCAAAATTCATTCATAATTTTCGAGATATGTCCCAGAAGTGTTCATTTGAGAATATGTTCCAGAAATAAGTGTTCATTTGAGAATATGTTTATCTTTATGGCTATCTGTCTAGCTAACTGTCTAGCTATCTGTCTAGCTTTCTGTCTATCTATCTGTCTAGCTACCTGTCTAGCAATCTGTCTAGCTATCTGTCTAGCTATCTGTCTAGCTATATGTCTAGCTATCTGTCTATCCATCTGTATATCTATCTGCATGTCAGTTTATCTATCTTTTTATCTATCTGTTTATATGTCCTATCTGTCTCCTGTTTATCTATATGTGTATGTGTCTATCTGTTTCTCTGTCTATTTATCTGTCTATCTATCTGTCTGTCTGTTTATCTATCTATCTATCTGTCTCTTTATCAGATCTGAGGACATCCTCTCAGGTTTCTTTCGTTTATCTGTAAGTCTTTTCATTTTTAGTTTAATATTAACTTTCTTTTAATTGAGTTTGCAACCCCTGTACCACGCTAATTTTAATTATATTAGATCCTAAATCTACACTCTACTCTTTCTAATTCTAATCGTTTGTTTGATAAATGGCCTAATTCACACCGATCTAAACAGTTTTAGAAATTAGAGTCAACGCTCTTTAGTTCTCTAGTTCTCTGGTTCTCTGGTTTTCTGGTTCTCTGGTTCTCTGGTTCTCTAGTTCTCTAATTCTCTGTTTCTCTAGTTCTCTAGTTCTCTAGTTCTCTACTCTAGTTCTCTATTATCTAGTTCTCTAGTTCTTTAGTTCTCTGGTTCTCTGATTCTCTGGTTCTCTAGTTCTCTATTATCTAGTTCTCTAGTTCTCAGGTTCTCTGGTTCTCTAGTTCTCTGGTTCTCTGGTTCTCTAGTTCGCTGGTTCTCTGTTTCTCTAGTTCTCTGGTTCTCTGGTTTTCTTTTTCTTTGGTTCTCTTGTTTTCTTGTTCTCTGGTTCTCTGGTTCTCTAGTTCTCTATTCTCGTTGAATAATATTTTCAAAAATGGTTTTATTTTTCTTAAATGTACGGATTGCAGGGATTTTTTCGAAAATTGTACGGATTTTTTCAAAAAAATGTACGGATTTTTTTTCGAAAATTGTACGGATTGTACGGATTTTTTTTTCAAAAATTGTACGGATTGTACGGATTTCCTCTGAAAATGTACGAATTTTTGTACGGATTTTTTCAAAAAAGTTTTGGCCACCCTGCAAATAAAATAATCTTTGGAACCGCCCTGGTTCAATTCAACTAGAGCAGTTCCTCAAGTATTGAATTCAGGAAGAAGTTGAAGAAAATTGACACACTGGAAGTTTCATCCGTAAAGTGTATATATGCCATGTTTTTAAAAGACTTTTCATTTGATGAAGCAATCGAAACTAAAATGAATTTTTTTTACTTGGTTTTCTGCTAAACAATAAACATGACAATCATGTTAATTCAGTCATGAATGTGGTTAGGCAGCATTGTGGATATCAATATTTGTGTTATGAAATATTATTTTATTTAGTTTGTTCACAAACGTTAAGACCCCAAAAAGTGAACTCGGGAATTTCGTTCAACGATACTCAATTTCGGGCTCTGGGATGACTGGGATATTGGCCGGAATTTAAAAAATCAAGCTTGAAACTGAATTAAATTATTCTTTCTCCGGGAAAACAAAAACCATCTTAATAGTTGGTAAAATCCAAGTTTTAGAGAAAGCGGTGTTCTAGATCTTGCTACAGGTTTTTTAAGGATGAAATTAAAACCTGCTCGACGTACTCAATGAACTCAATGACCCATTGACCAACTGCAATTGTTTAAACTTTGTTAGGCCACGTCATGTCATAATCGTCACAGTCAATTTTAGTACAAATCTTTTATTTACACTTAAACAATTCATGGATATATGTTTAATAATTATCTGTTTGCATTTGTAATTAAAATATAATAAAAAATGTAGGGAAGAATTATTTTTCTTTTTGCAACGAGGAAGGGATGGCAGCTCCAGGCTCCCCGCTCATGTTTGAGTTCTGCACCGCTTTTGACATCCTAAAATCAACTTTTTGACAGTTTTTAACCCAATATCTACACGACATATATAGAGTCAATTTGGGGAGTTGCTCTTTTATCCAAGTTTGATCTTACTCAGACAAAGGTCCAGAATCAAATGATATTCATTATTTTTAATTTAGGTTTAATTTTTTTTAAGTGAATGAAGATTTTTTTTTGCGGTGACAATGAAAGAAATTCTCAGAATTCAAAAAATATTTAGTAAGAAAAACAGCAATTCTTCCTCACTGTTGCTCTAATAGGATTTAAACACTCAAAAAAGATGGTTACACCAAATGGTTATCTCAGCTTTAAGTATAGACAGCTGCCATTCTACGTTGCGCGCAATGCTCCGTGAAATTCCAAAACAGAGAGAGGGGGATTGAATTTTGTAGATCCAGAAAAATAATTAAATTAGTATTTATTTAGGGTTAGGTTAGGTTAAGACACTTTGTGGGCCGAGCACTGCGGCTAGAACAGGCAGGGGGCCGAGCGCTGCGGCCACTGGCTAGGTTAAGTTATGACACTTTCTGGGCTGGTCACTGTGGCCACATGTCTTACATTTAAGACCCCACCATGCTGCCAGTCTCTACGCAGGCATTCCACAGATATTATTTTCCTGGATCTACAAAATTCAATCCCCCTCTCTCTGTTTTGGAATTTCACAGAGCATTGCGCGCAACAGAGAATGGCAACTGCCTTAAGTATAAGGGTACATGCTCATTCAACCTAGATGGAGTTAGACTTAGACACCATTTGAAATGAAATATCACTCTTTTATATTTATGGTCTGACTCAGCCTTTGAGCATTTCAGTTTTAAGCGCCTAATGGTTTATAGAATTTAAACAATGAAAACTTTGATTAAAGGGGTGTAGCATCCAGTGGGGCCAAAAAACCCTGGAAATCAGAGATTTTACTGATCCAGGAGCCCCCATAGACCCCCCTGAATACACCTCTGGTTGTGGATAAGACATGCCACTTTTACCTGAAATCATGTCTTCAGCCCCTTACAATTGTGAAGTTTAACCTAAAATTATGACATCAGTCCTTTCAATTGCACAAAAATTAAAGTCATTGGGCCACAGTAAACGTCCACTGTATTCTTCCATCCCTGCAAATATTTAGTCTCTGACAAAGTGATGTTGAACATATAAAGTCCAGAATTATTTACCAGACTTTTTTGCCATCGGCATATTTAGTCGGCTAAAAGGTTTCCTGGGATGTGTGCCTTCCCTTCCTCAGAAATAAAATAAAATTCATTTAAGATTTCAGGGAAATGGCAAAAGTTATTAAAAATTTAAATCATTTAATTAAAATAAATTTAAATATTTGCTGTTGTGTGAATATTGTGTTTACCAAGTTTCCGCGGCGTGCTTGTTTCACAAACAGATTTCAAAAATCCCGCAGTGTTCGTGTATTCGATGCTGAATGCCACGTATCGTTCTCTAATTCATCAGTAAACTTATTTTTCTGCTGTAGAGAGTGGTATAATATCTGGGTCCATTACATCTGTTATTTATTTTTTTAGTTCAAAATGCGATTGCTTGTGTTAACGTTGGCTTTTAGCGTTGCTTTAACCAAGAAAGCTCCTAAAGAAGATAAACCAGATTGGGCTAAAAAAGATGTCCGAGATTACAGGTTTGTTTTTCACACTGAAAATTAGGTAATTTGGTAATTTCCTAGTATACGATTTTTAGACCCCCCCCCCCCCC